TTACACAAATAACGACAATAAATAAAGTCGCAAGGAGGAATAAGGGTGATTTCCTTTTTTTCCTTTTATAACTAGCAAGGTAATCCGTGTATAAACTGTAAAGTGCTCGGCTAATGTATCGTTTGATTTTTTTTTATGCAATTTAGCTTACACTCTTCTCACCTATTTTTACTCTCACGTCTTACTCTAGTCATTGGCTTCATTAGCGTTTATTGTCATAAGAAGTAATTGTGTCCATCATAAATGATCTGCGCGCCCTACATTTTTTGTTTTATTGGTTGGTTAACGCTATAACCTAGAGAGAGAGAGAGAGAGAGAGAGATCCAAACTTGATACGATAGTGCATATCCTTTCATACAATTCGCTCCAACATCCCGCTTTTCATATCCATCGATGTTCTCTTTCATTGGCGAATGACAAAGTTTTACTATTACCTCTTTAGATAAACCTTATATACTTAGTTGCGTAGTTAAATTTATCAGTTCTTATCATTTGAAATTTTCTAGGTTTATTTTTTTTAACTCTAATAGTGAATTATATTCATTTATTTCTATTATGTTTAGCATCAAAAGATATTTTTTTGAGTCTCCTTTTATTCCAAGACGATAATACAATCACTTAGCAAACATTAAATAGCTATTGTTCAATAGTTATTAATGTTTTGGTAACTAGAATATACCCCACGTCCTATAAAAAATATACCCCACGCGTTACTACGGGGCATTGCGAAGAATTTGAAATGAAATTGAGTATGATATATGTGGATAGCTTGCAATTAAAATATTAGAAGTTAGTGGAATGACATGGCTATTAATGAGAGATGATGTGGATAGTTAGTGGGGGATGATGTGAATTGCTTGCATGTTGAAATAGACTTCAAGTGAATTAATTAACTTTATAAGAGATATATAGATATAGATATGATATAGATACAGGTACAGATACAGATATAGATAGAGATGTAGATTTAGAGAATTAATATATGAGTATTATATATAGATATAGATATAGTATAGACATGGCTATTAATGAGAGATGATGTGGATAGTTAGTGGGGATGATGTGAATTGCTTGCATGTTGAAATAGACTTCAAGTGAATTAATTAACTTTATAAGAGATATATATAGATATAAAGATATGAATATAGATCATATGTATTTGAACGTATATATATATATATAGATATCTGATATAGATAGAGATAGAGATAGATGTAATATATGAGATATATAGATATAGAGATATAGATATAGATATAGAGATCATTATATGAGTATTATATATAGATATAGATATAGTATAGAGATAGAGATAGAGAATTAATATATGAGTATAATATAGATCTAGATAGAGATAGAGATAGAGAATTAATATATGAGTATTTCTAGGATCATTTTTGTGTAATAATGGTATATATCATATCTGAATGATTCGTTACAACATGTGCCAACTTTAATCGTAAATTAATATTTGCATCTTGCATTGGCTTTGCAGTTTCTACTACAACACCACCACCACCACCACCACCACCACCACCACCACCACCACCACCACTCCACCACACCACCACCACCACCACCACCACCACCACCACCACCACCACCACCACCACCACCACCACCACCACCACCACCACCACCACCACCACCACCACCACCACCACCACCACTACCACCACCACCACCTACCACCACCACCACCACCACCACCACCACCACCACCACCACCACCACCACCACCACCTGGACCACCACCACCACCACCACCACCACCACCACCACCACCACCACCACCACCACTGGACCACCACCACCACCACCACCACCACCACCACCACCACCACCACAACCACCACCACACCACCACCAACCACCACCACCACCACCACCACCACCACCACCACCACCACCACCACCACCACCACCACCACACCACCACCACCACCACCACCACCACCACCACCACCACCACCACCACCACCACCACCACCACCACCACCACACCACCACCACCACCACCACCACCACCACCACCACCACCACCACCACCACCACCACCACCACCACCACCACCACCACCACCACCACCACCACCACCACCACCACCACCACCACCACCACCACCACCACCACCACCACCACCACCACCACCACCACCACCACCACCACCACCACCACCACCACCACCACCACCCCACCACCACCACCACCACCACCACCACCACCACCACCACCACCACCACCACCACCACCACCACCACCACCACCACCCCACCACCACCACCACCACCACCACCACCACCACCACCACCACCACCACCACCACCACCACCACCTGGGCACTGACCACCACCACCACCACCACTGGACTGGACTGGACCACCACCACCACTGGACTGGACTGGACCACTGGACTGGACCACCACTGGACTGGACCACCACCACCACCACCACCACCACCACCACCACCACTGGACCACCACCACCACCACTGGACAGCCAACACCACACCACCACACCACAACACCACCAGCAACCACCACACCACAACAGCACCACCACAGCACCACAGCATCACCACCATCACCACCACCACCAACTGGCCACCACCACCACCACTGGACCACCACACTGGACTGGAACTGGACTGCATACTCATCACTTTAACAAAGTATAGTGGATGGATGAATAAAGATCCATGAAAGCCTTCGGTATACATCTGGACTGCACCTTAGGTCAACGTGTGATCTGGATAGAGAACTCTAGCGGTAGATATCTGTTATGATATTTCTTCCATTCAAAAAAATCTAGCTTTTAGATATCTCTTATAGTACAGATTTATGAATATATATATATATATATATATATATATATATATATATATATATATATATATATATATATATATATATATATATATATATATATATATACTACTACACACACACTACTACACTACTACTTTAACTTCTTGCACGAAAATAAAGTAAAATGGAGGATATCTAAAAGACTCACATCATATAAGAGATATATAGTTTTTGAATGGAAGTGAGCCTACTCGGCATTTCACGAGTTATGAAAGTACAAGAAAGAATATTAAATCTCGTCGTTAATTGAATCCGGAATAGAAAGATTCAGAATAAACAAAATTTATAGGATTCAAATAATCAAATAACATTTACAACTAGAGTTCTTTCTGGATCACAGTAACCATTCAGATGTATACCGAAGCCTACTACTCTCCTCTAAAAATATAAGATGCTTCAAACTTCATAATATTTTATCAATAATTAGTCTAATTGTATGAGAAGTTTGTGCTACAAAAGTATATTAGATTTGTATTTAAAAATAATCTCTAATGATTAAACTTCTGCTGCAACAAACGATATACTATAAGAGAAACTAGCGATTAACACCTAACTTTGGAGACTGCACCAAATCAAATCATACTTTATATTTTAGGACAAATGGAGTACAAGGAATAATCTACACTATATAGCCTCTATGTGAGTTATGCATTTAATTGTCCATTGTTATAAGTTTTAGTCTTAGGTTGAGTCGTTGTAAGTACGATACCATGGTTTAGACCATGGGCATAAAAAACTATGAGAAATTAATCATTTCTTCTACCACTATATGATGCGAACAACAAGTTTTGTGAAAAACTTCACGAGAGAATAGATTACATGACCTTGACAACAATGACTGGTATATATGTGAACAATAAGCAATGCAAAAACATGCACTCTCAAACAAAGTCACCCTTTGTGCTGCATTTTGTATACCCCTTCATTATACATGGCAAGAAGATGGTGGTTTTGTCGATAGAAGTTAGTAAATTTGATGGAGATCAACATTGTGAATCATAAAAACTAACATATTTGTTATTAGCAAACCACCGATCATCACATGTCTATTCATCTGAGCATTAAAAGATACCACCATAACTAAGGTACATCAAACATCCTAAGACACTAAAACTAATGAAGAGACTAAGACAGGGTGGGGAATCGTAATAAAGGAATGACAATAAGGATAAGACATGGCAATAATGGTAGCCTCGGTAACGGACAACTCTATGTTGTCTTGTGCAAACAAAGGTAAAGATTTGGTCTCAATTGATATCGCCAAATATAAAATGAAAAAATAGTAACGGAAAACATAGAATCTAATAGGTGCGTTATCACCGAGTACTTTTGGTATTCTTCTTCAACAAACAAAACTAAAAAAAAATTGAAGTGCGCCCTAAAAAGAGAGATCATAGAATCTAATAGATGTGTTATCACCTACTACTTTTGGAATTCTTCTTTCACACACACAACAACAACAACAACAACAAAAACGAAACAAGTAATGGAGTGTACGTGGATTTGAGCGGTTGGTTCAATGTGATGTGCCCTAGCTGATGATGGATCTTAATCATTTAAAGACAACTCTTGTATAGTCATTTTAAAGATAACTCTTGTAATGCTTCAAGCCGAACCAGAGAAACACTAGAAACTCCTCTATAGATTTAGCTAATTGAGTTTTCTTGAGAACCTTTACCATGTTTAAAGTGGCTTTTCAACCTTGGGGTGGTCGATGAACTTGTAGCGAATTACGGGCAATGCCACTGGCGGTGCCTTCTAGCAGACTACTAGGCCCTTGACCCCTTGAGAGGCATAACAGGTGGCTACCTTCCACGGTTCCATTTGCCGCAGGCCCAATCGGATGATCCGAGCCGCCCATTAGAGATCGACGGTCAGGCTTAGGCTCCTATCTCCAATTTCAGTTTCAGGAGAAGGGATATGCCCCACACGTCATTGGAACCAAAAACCAAAGCCGGTGCAGACCAACGACTCGGCAGAAGTCAGAAGCGAGCGAGCGGTACGCTGCACGCGCGGCAGGCAGTCCCCCCAGCCCACCACCATTTCTCCCCGTGCGCGCGCGCGTGAGGCGCTGCTCCTTTTCTTTGCATGTGAAGGGGTGAGAGAGGGGGGCAGAGTGGAAGAAGGGGAGCAATGCCGATCATCTCCGAGTGCGGGTGGCGGGGCGGCGGCGGCGGTGGCAGCGGCAGCTCCAGCTTCGGCCGCCGGGGCCAGTGCAGCTCGCCGGCGGCAAGCTACAGGTCGTTGTCATCAGCGCGGCGGGGAAGTGACAGCAGGGCGGGGGTGCTGCAGTGCGGTGAGGTGGAGAGCGATGAGGAGGTGCAGAGCTCGTACAAGGGACCCTTCGACACCATGGACGCGCTCCAGGGCGCACTGCCAAACAAAAGGTCAGCCCAATCCGCCAAAGCTCGCGCCTTAGTCAATCTTGTTCCGGTAATCCGTAATCGTTCTGGATTTGATTTATTATGGATTTTGAGGTGGATTATGTTGGCCTTTACCACTTCTTGTGCCATACGGTGCACTGCAGATAGCAGGGGGCATGTACTCTCACCCTTTAGAGTGTTATATGGAGTGATGTAGGTGTAAAAATTGTTTTTTTTTCGATTCTGTACTCTGTAGTGTGCGTCTCTGGAGGGTGCCGAGGGGTTTTGTTTGACTCGAACAGTGCAGTGGAATTTGTTTTGGTTGAAAATTTTTGTGGCATTTTGGGGTGTATCTGAAGTAATCTGTTGTCGAAGTGTTCTGTCAAAAAATCTGGGGATTTCTCTGGTGATCCCGTGCAAAGTGGTGGGGGCACTTGGTCTGGATCCTTTTGGTGGCTGCAATGTGCATACCAGTATAAGGGGTGTTCGGATGCGGTGACTAAAATTTAGGCGGTGTCACATGAGGGTGTCGCATGGGGTGATGACAGAATCCGTCAGTACTCCACGAGACGAATTTATTAAGCCTAATTAAGCCGACATTAGTACATGTTTACTGTAGCACCCCATTGTCAAATCATAGACTAATTAGGCTTAAAAGATTCGTCTAGCAAATTAGTCGCAAACTGTGCAATTAGTTTCGTAATTAGTCTATATTTAATACTTCATGCATATGTCCAAACATCTGATAGGACAGCGACTAAAGTTTAGGAGAAGGAACCAAACATCCCCTAAGCGTCGTAGAGGAACTGTGACTCATGATTGTCTTAAAAGTTTATTTCTTGATCGCTCTGGTTGGTGGGTGCTATGGTACAGAGGCTGGATAAGGACAGTAGTGGATTTAGTATGTTTGGCTGGCTGCTCAATTGCATCTGACATATTGGGGCTGCTTGTGGTGTTTTCATTTCTTAGTATGCCTATGGGTGCCATGCCAGTGCCATAAAGATTTCAGACAATTTGTTGGGAAGAGATTGGAGTTTTGTTTAGAGCTGGTTATGGTTTTTCCATGTAAATTATGAGTAATTTTTTTATGTGAAATGTTACCATTTTCACTGAAGCCTTGCTCTTGGGTCTTGGCCATGCCTTTTGCTTGTGACAGTTTAGTTCCAGTGTCGGACTCCTTGCAAATCTTCATAGGATATATTTGTATGATTTTGTCACAGTTCATGTCAGCCTGAACATATGCAGATAAAATATTTTCTGCTGACATACTTCAACCTTTGTGGTTTCTGATTTATTAGTAGTATAGGATAGATATGTCAAGAACCCAAAGGTCTTGAGTTAATGTTCAATTATGATGAAGTTGGTTAGCATTGCTTAAGATTGATAGTAAAATGCATATTGAAGTTAAAAGGATTTTTACGTTCCATTCTTGATACTTCACCACTAGCTGGTCCCAGCTAATTTAGACAGTAATAAGCAATAGTAACCTTTGAAACACTGCGCACTCTTTTAAGCATTTGTCCAGGAGGTAATTATATTTAGAAGTAGCAGCTTTTTTATTGATATGTTTGCACAATACATAGAATTATATATTCATATATAAGGAATTCATCATGTTATCTTAACTAAGTATTTTCATTTTAAAATTATGGCCAAGAGTGCACCTGATTGGGTTCTCATGTTCTCCACAGTAACAGAAAATTATGGCTGAGCTTTCGTTTCTGTTTGCTGTGTGTTTCTTGAATCTTTATTGAGCATTTTCATGTACATATGGTTTGATATGGTGCAGTTCTAGCTAGTTGTTTTCTCAGTATTATCTCTGTAGTCTGCAGTAACCGGAGACACCTTCCACATGCCATAACAATGAGCTTCTTTGATCATTTTCAAGGATAACTGCAGCTTGCTGGCCTTCTTTGCAGTTTTGCTTTTAGTAGGCTGTTGTGTATATGACCATGTTAAGAGTTCCATAGACAGGTCTTATGCAATGTTTATATATAGAGCGAAGTGAATTGTTATTCCTACTAAAAGCTGATGAGAAGGTTTGAAGTTTTTAGGGTTTAATAGGATAAGATAGTTGCCACTCAGCGGTATCAGTGACCATGTAGCCTCTTGAATTGATGTGCGAAGCTAAGTGCCAAAAGTTGTAATGGTATAGAACGCTCATTTGGTTATAAGTGATAACATTCTTTTCCCAAGTGTGTTTAAACATAACTCTTTTTTATTTAGCATGTATTTAATAATGTGGGCACATGATCAAAGGGGCATAACTCACATGCATTTGTTAGCTAGCTTTCAGAGTACAATTTATATATGCTATTAAGTATTTAGATACTCGTCTTATTTCTTGTCGCTACTCGGGCACCTGCTATCTTTAAATATTTCGTTCTCACAAACTGACTGGAAATTGTTTGTCTCTGTTCAGTGCTAGATCCTATATGGCTGTGTATTCAGATAATTTACTGTACATATACTTCTTCAGTTGTTCTAACCAATTTGAATTCTTACCTACAATAGGAAAGGAGTATTCAAATTCTACAATGGCAAAACGAATTCTGTGGCAGATACTGCTCAGCCAGCAAAAGACATTGCTAATCCTGTGAATCCATACCCTAAGAAGCGCAAGGGTTTTCTTCCATTCGGTTTCAGCTGGACCAAGCCTTGGAGCAAAGGGTCAAGGAGCAGACGTGGTGCAACCAGCAGCTCAAAGAACTTCAGGAAGACGCTGTCTGCAGCTCTTACAGGCAGTGCTCAAGGCAACAGTAGCGGTGGTGGCAATGAGCACCAGGACTGCCAAGAACCTGCTCGCCACTGCCTGCGTCTGCATAGGAGGCCCAACGTACCTGCCGTCTCTGCTTCCCCACCTGGACCTGGTGCCCTTCGGTCTCAGGCTCAGCTGATCTCAGTGCAGATGCGGTCGGTCTCAGTGGGTGTGGAGGACGTGGCGGAGTCCACCGCCTCAGTGCAGAAGCGCAGGAAGAGCTTGCAGTAGTGACAGTTCGTCTGTCCAGTTGCTCCACCCACTGGTGCCCGCTTTTAGACGGCGGAATCCAGTTGCCGGTGCTCCCAGATTCAGTGCGATGGATGCTTTGTAATGTTAAGGTTGAAGCTGGAATTGTGTATAGTGGTGCTAACTGCTAAGTTTCTTATCCTTTATATATTATACATATATAAAACAATGGACTAATAATAGATATGCTGAACTTGGGAAAGTGATGCGTGATCTTATAATTACAGTACTTGCGTTGCTTGTTCTGATTGCCTTATCCGATGTTATTCTTGGGGTTATGCTCCTGGCGGTTGGTTGATTCAACCGTACGCAGGAATTGCAGAGCCTGAGCTTGGTACATCCTGTTACTTAGGGAGCAACCAATTTAGAATGGTCTATTAGTGTTGCTATTTCGTCGTCACCAACCATTCCGAAGCCTAAACCTCTGTTCCCCTTAGCAAAAAAAAGTCAGAGCCTGTCCAACTTCGGAATGGATGGACATGCTCTAGTTGAAAGGGAGTGGCCGCTGCTAGTCAGGATCTAACATACGATGTCAAGGAGCATGGCAAGCGTGACGAGGAGGTTGGGATCTGTGGTGGTCACCCATCAAAAGAAATATCGGAATGGTGATGGTTTGCAACACACTACATTTAGGGTGAAAGTGGGGCTTTCTTTTGAGGCTACTAAAATTAATTGGCATTGAAGTTGTGAAAGACAGTCCACCGAGCATTAAAAAATACAAAAGTGGCAGTTTTTTATAAGTGTGGGGGTATGCCCCCCGGTATCCTCAAGACAAGACATGGCCGCACCATCAGAGGTGGTCCGACCCACAAGATCAAGGCGTGCACGGCGCTGCTCGTGTGCATCGCAAGTTATTGTATACTACCAAATAAGATATTTTTCTTGTAACTCTACCCCTCCAAAGTATATAAAGAGAGGTAGGGGTCCCCTGGCGTACAGATCTCCACAGATCGATACATCTCAATGTAATACATCAGAACACAGGATGTAGGTATTACGTCATACTAACGACCGAACATGTCTAAATCTTGTGTCTTTGTGTTTGTATTACCATCTCGCTCCTGATCTCGCTTACCTCTACGACAAATCTACCATCGTGGGATACCCCTCGGTGGACAAATCTACCATCGTGGGATACCCCTCGGTGGACCGCCGAGCATCTTTTGTCGACAGTTGGTGCGCCAAATAGGGGTGTGCACTTGATCCATGGCGAGCCAGATGGACCTCAAATCAACAGCGCGTTCTCGTCATCAATCTCGTGGAGATTCATGCCGGTCCACGACGATGATTCATCGCTGGCTACACCAGCCCCACGACAGTAGATCCGATCTCGGAACCACCTCCGATGTCGTCTTCACCAACAACTCACCGCCCGCCAGGTGCTCGCCGTCAATGCTGACCAGATAACGTCATACGTCGCCGACCAGACTTTCTATCTAAAGCTAATTCACGTTTTAATATTCTTCTAAATATTCTCCAATCTCCGCATATCGCCATGATGTTTCTCCGAGTTGTTTTCTCCATATTTGCTCTCCAAACGATTTTTCGAACCCCTGAACAGTCATGTTGATGCTCGGACGCCTTCAGAGACGGCCCTGTCTCCGGCTCCTCCCTACACGTGCACGAGCGTCTGCCCTCTGTGTTATGGGTGGTCGGCAGCGGCTCCTTAGCGACGCATGTTCCTCCTATACGTGCACGGGCTCCGCGCTCGACGTTATGGACCATGTGCTAGCTAGGGCTGAAGACTCAGCTACACACTAACTGGGCGGGCGGTTTATATTAAATATAAATACGTCTTCACTCCAACTGATCGTCGAGCTACATACGCTATTTTTTCTCCGGAGTTCATATATTTTTACACCATGTACTACCCATTCTACATATTTGTATTACAGGATCATCGTCCAGGTGATCGGATCACTTGGTGCTTGGACTTCTCCACCGATCAACTGGTCGGACCGCTAGGTTCATCGACTTCGTCGCCAACCAGTTGATCGGACTATTCGTCGGTCGCTTTCTACTCAATGCTCACTTCGCCGCCGACCAGACTGTTTGTCGCTCGTGCTTCATCGCCAGCTACGCCGGTTACTCCTTGGCGCTCGGATTCTTCGTGCTCGAGGACTAAGTGGGCACACTTCACCGTACGGACGTCGCCCGCTACGTCGGGGACTCCTCGGTGCTCGAGACATCACCAGCGACGCCGGGGACTCCTCGTTCTTCGGTGCTTGAACATCGCCAGCGACGCCAAGGACTCCTCGGTACTCGGACATTGCCAGCGACGCCGGGGACTCCTCGCTCTTCGGTGCTCGGACATCGCCAGCGACGTCGGGGACTCCTCGCTCCTCGGTGCTCGGACATTGCCAACGACGCCGGGGACTCCTCGCTATTCGGTGCTCGGACATCACCAGCGACGCCGGGGACTCCTCGGTAATCGGACATCGCCAGCGACGCCGGGGACTCCTCGCTCTTCGGTGCTCGGACATCGCCAGCGACGCCGAGGACTCCTCGCTCCTCAGTGCTCGGACATTGCGCGGCGATGCCGGGGACTCCTCACTCTTTGGTGCTTTCGGACGCCGCCAACAAGCCTGAGGACTCCTCATTACTCGGACATCGCCACGACGCCGGGGACTCTCGCGCTCCTCGGTGCTCGGACATCGCCAGGGGACGCCGGGACTCCTTGCTCTTCGGTGCTTCGACATCGCTCGCGCGCTTGGGACTCCTTCGTGTTTCGGACATCGCCAACGCGCCGAGGACTCCTCGCTCCTCGGTGCTCGGCAATGACGCCGCTCCTCGCCCTCGGTGCCCGACGACTCCCGGCGCTTCTCTCCTCGGTACTTTCGGACATCGCCAGGACGCCGAGGACTCCTCGCTCCTCGGTGCTTCGACATCGCCAGCGACGCCGGGGACTCCTCGGTACTCGGACATCGCCAGCGACGCCGGGGACTCCTTGCTCCTCGGTGCTCGGACATCGCCAGCGACGCCGGGGACTCCTCGCTCCTCGGCACTCGGACGTCGCCAGCGACGCCGGGGACTCCTCGCTTCTCGGTGCTCGAACATCGCCAGCGACGCCGGGGACTCCTCGCTTCTCGGTGCTCGGACATCGCCAGCGACGCCGGGGACTCCTCGCTCTTCGGTGCTCGGACATCGCCAGCTATGTCGGGTACTCCTCAGCGCTCGAACATCGCCCTTGGTGGTCAGATCTTGCTACGTCTCATTGATGTGATATCAGGCTGCTCCATGTTGTTCGGATCAGGGTGCTGATCTTGGACAGCACGTCTAGAGTCTTGATACGTGCATGTCAGATGACGTCGGCAAGCTTTTAGACTTCTTTTTCTTTGATCCTGCTACAAGATTCATTATTCATTTTCTAGCTGACTCGGGGACTAAGTGGGCACACTTCACCTTACGGTGAATGTGCGCTTTTCTCATCTCGAGGCTACGCCCGGGGACTGGCTGCTTGCTTGGCTGGTCTTCTACTTTCTAACCCTGGCACCACGTGACTACGTCACCTACTGTCAGGCTCAGGGACTAGCTGTGGGGGTATGGCCCCCGGTATCCTCAAGACAAGACATGGGCTGCACCATCAGAGGTGGCCCGGTCCATAAGATCAAGGCGTGCACGGTGCTGCTCGGCGTGCACCGTAAGCTATTGTATAGTACCAAATAGGATATTTTTCTTGTAACCCTACCCCTCTAGAGTATATAAGGAGAGGTAGGGGTCCCCTAGTGGACAGATCTCCATAGGTCGATACATCTCAATGCAATACATCATAACACAGGATGTAGGTATTACGTCATACTGACGACCAAACCTATCTAAATCTTGAGTCTTGGTGCTTGTATTACCATCTCGCTCCTGATCTCGCTCACCTCTACGATAAATCTATCATCGTGAGATACCCCTCGGTCGACAATAAGTCATTTTGACTCTTCTAGATGTAGGCACGTAGCAAAAGTTACGTACTTTGTTCAATTAAAAATAAAAGCAAAAGCTATGTAAAAAAAACCCAAAACAACTTGTAATTTAGAGTAGGAGTAATTTAGGATGCGATAGATATTTAGCTAGAGATGCTTAAGCGCAAAGGTGTGTGATCTTATAATTAGGTTGTATACTTGTAGGCCCGGTTCATGCGGCGGCAGCTGGATCGGCTGGAAGTGTCTCACGAGGGTTACTATAGCACTTTCAGCCGGTTTCAGTCAAAACAGTGTTTCTCTCACACACAACCAGCCGCTACATTGTTTTGGCTTCTTTTTCCAGACAAGCGAACGGGCCGTATTCGCATGTGTATTTAAGTTGTTCCGTCCACTACAAAAATATACTACATGTATTTAAACTGTACGTTGTACATTTGATGGCATTTGTTTTTTTCCTTGAACTTGAAAGTCTAACATATCTTGACAATGTTTGCTACACAATGTGTATCATCATTGAACTATTGCTGCTTTAACCTGGACAAAAGAAAACATTAAGCCCGATGGTCCATGACACGCTCATGTTATTGAAAGAGACGCAAAACAACAACAAACAAAGCCCAGGCATACAACAGTTAGGCCTGAAATACAGAAATGATAGATTATACGATTAAGTTACAAAAGGTGAAAGCATTTCCATGCACCTATATTTTTTTAATATGGAACGGATAGATGACTTAGGCCCTGTTCGTTTCCCGGGGAATGACGTCCCGGATCCGTTCCGGCCAGAAAGCCTATTTAATTTATACTCAGCAGACTTGAGCAGGAATTATTTCGGAGAGGGAATGACTCAAACGAACGAGCCCTTAGGATGCTTCAAACCATAGAAGTGGTGGTTGCCAAGAAAAAAAATGTATTTGTGTCCATGAGCAACCTAAGAGATTATTGTCAGGAACCCAAATCGGATTCTCTCACAAATCGAAATTACAGCAATAATCAAAGTAGCTAGTAGCTTCTAGAAGGTTCTGGATACAACTTTGAGGTACTGGGAGAGGGAGGAAGGAAGGAAGG